TTTTTTTTGTCCAGAAAATGCTGTTTTCTGTGCCAAAAGTGCAATTTTTACACACACAGTAAGTAACGCATTGCCAAAAGTTTTCTAAAAATGTGCAGATTTTGTTGACTTTCTTGTACCAAGGAAGAAAATGATAATTTTGCCCCTTTATGGTCTGTGAGAAGACAATTTACAAAGGTTTCCATCCCTGCATGTTGCATTGGACTTGGCTAAGCCTGCCAGTATTTTGAAATTATGCATGGTCTAATTAGGCATAGCTAAAACTTGCTGTTTAATTCTGACATTGAATGTCTCTGGTGTGGACCAATAGTTATTGCATTAAGGTATATAAATATAAAATATTGGCAGGCTAATTGTTTATTTCGGAGCCAACATGATGTAGTGGTTTGAGCACTGGGCTATGACTCTAGAGACCAAGGTTGAAATCCTGGCTTGGCCATAGAAACCCACTGGGTGACCTTGGGCAAGTCACACTCTCTCAGCCTCAGAGGGTAGCAATGGCAAACCCCCTATGAAGAAAGCTTGCCAAGAAAACCCCATGATAGGTTTGCCTTAGGGTCACCGTAAGTCAGAAACAACTTGAATGCACACAAGAACAACCATTGTTCATTTGTTACAAACTTCCCGTCCTTTCAACCAGTTTCTTCCTGGCAGAATGACGTTGCATGGTTTTGGTCCATGCCTGCCTTTTCTACTTGGTTCTCATATCTCCAGATGCAAGAACCATTTCCATACAGTCATTGCTTCACTGCATATCCCATCACAGTACTTCAGCCTGACCTCATGGCAGGCAAGATGAAAAATGCAGTCCCTGACAACAGGTTTGTCCTTCCTTGCAAACCACCACCACCCTAAAAAACAGCACATCTGCCTGGACACTATTTTATCCTTAAATAAACTCAGCAAGAGACATTTGGCTTGAATTCTGGTGAGATCAGAACTGCAGCTGAACAAGGATCAACTGCTCCTTCAGCACAAAATCTTCTATGAGATCTTCTCCGGTAGGCAGAAGAAAACCAGATGTTCTCCACCAAAATCTCTACCAGAAGATCAACAGCAGGTCTGGAGCTGAGAAGATGCAAAGTCAGAGGTTCTTGAAGGACATGCAGAGCATCACTAGAAGCAGTTGCCAGATACTTTGCACGGGAACAGGAAACTTCTGGACTCCAGTCCCCATCCCAGTTTGTCAGATGCTCAGAAATAAATGCAAGGTGTACTCCTGAAATTCCACACCTACCCTAACGGCAGGAAGATCTCCATAGATCTATCACCTTCCACTTGAGCAGGAAAGTAGCCTGCAGAAGAATTCCAGAGTAACAAAAGGATTCTGTTCCAGCTTAGTTGCATGCCCCATTAGCTGCTAGTGGATTGCCCTTCTTAGTCCATGCAATCCTAGGCTGCATTAATAGGAGGAGTAGAGTATCTAGAGGAAGGCAATGGCAAAACCACCTCTGAGGATTCCTTGCCTAAGAAAACCCTATGAAAACCCTATGGGGTCAAGGTAGGTTGATAGCTGACTTGAAGGCACAGACACAAACAATATAACACAGGACCTAAATACCCTGAAGGCACCAGATCCCATCTGATCTTGGAATCTAACCAGGGTCAGCCTTGGTTAGTCCCTGGATGGGAGACTGCCAATGGATACCAGGTGCTCTAGGCTGTATTTTGGAGGAAGGAACTGGCAAAACCATCTCAGAGGATTTCTTGCCCAAGAAAGCCCTAGAAAATTCACGGGGTTGCCATATGTCGAAGAGCAACTTGAAGGCACATACACACATCCTCAAGGCACACATATGATCTTTGGTGTTAGCCCTGGTTAGGACTTGGATGGGAGACTGCCAATGGATACCAGGTGCTGCAGGCTCCATTTCAGAGGAAGGGACGGGCAAAACCACCTTGGAGGACTCCTTGCCTAAGAAAACCCTATGAAATTTATGGGATTGCCATATGTCAGCAGGCAAATTGAAGTTACATACATACATAGTGCCAAAAAGTCAAGCTCACTCTCTTCTGTCACTGGAAGAAGCAGCATTTCTAGGACAATCCATGCCTTTCTAGACCATCCTTCCTTCCCTCCCTGGCTTGAAAACTACCTATCCCAAAGGGGATGGATGAGGACGTAGAGGAGGCCAGATAAGCAGGTAAAACCTGGACCAAGGGTGGAGGGCAGAGCTGCTTGTGGTTTCATCTGACCCCACAAATGTTGTCCATCCCCTTCAAAATCTGGTCTCTTCTAAGAGTTATGCAACTTTTGGCCCAGAAACTGCTTAGCCCAGAGACTCTAATGCAGTGGCAGAGAGTTGTTTTCTCACAGCTGAAAAAGAGGAAGGAAGGATGGTGCAGAAAGGCATGCCTTTCCATCGAAGTGCCTCCTCTTCCAATGCCAGAAGAGGGTGAGGCTGTGTTTTTGGAGTTGTGTTCCTACGCCTGGCAATGAACAGATTGGCCAACATGGGTGTACGGCTGTCCTGGGCACGTGGCTTTCGTGGCACTCGCTCGGACTGTGTACCATCTGCCACAGTCCTATGTCATTTGGGGATGGAGCAAAATCTAGAGTTCTAGCATCAACATCTTAATTGAAAACATCCCAGGGTCTGAACATTTGGCGATGATGCATTTCCATGAAAGTGCGCGCCTTTTTGCATCCTCCTTCCCTGGCCAGAAAACAAACAGCCTTTCCGTGGGGGCAGAAAGCACAAGGGAAATTTGGGATAGGCAACCGAGGAATGTGGCTAGCTCAAGGTGGGCAAAGAGCGGGGTAGTTTTTGTGGCCCTGCAGTCTCCCTAGACTACCACATTTCAGACCCTTCTTGCATGCATATTGCTTGTCCTAGAAGTCTTCAGGAGTGGCAATCCACCTTTTAAATCATTTGCAGGGCAGGGGAAAATATTTTTTAAAACCAAAACTCAACTGGTTTTCTGGCCACTTCTGGTTTTAACAATAATTGCTGTTATTGTTATTGTGTGCCTTCAAGTTGTTTCTGACTTATGGTGACCCTAAGGCAAACCTCTCATGGTTGAGACCCAATTCCATGATCTGCCTTTCGAATGACCAGGAGTACCTCCATCTTGTCTGGATTAAGTTCATTACGGACAAGCAGACATTGCTTCGGTAACAAGACAGCTTCCTTGGAACCTACCATGGAGTTGTCTTGGCAAGATTTGTTCAGAGGAGGTTTGCCATTGCCTTCCCCTGAGGCTGAGAGAATGTGACTTGCCCAAGATCATGGGATTCTTCCCCTTTTTGCACAACATTGGTTGTCTGTTGTTATCTGTTGTTACTGGTTATCTGTTGCTGACCAGTTGTCCTATTGTTATTATCGTGCAATTTTGTATTAACAAGGGAAAGCGGTCAATAACCACCAATGTTGCTACATTCACATGATTGTGCAAGTGCAAACTGCTTTAGCACCACTGTAGTGAGATTGCAGAATCGACATCCTGCGAATGGGTGCGTCATAATAATAATAATAATCGGGGCGGGTTACAACATGTTAAAACAAACAAAGTTAAAACCATCATCCTCCCTGCTTCTGTTATGTCAAAAGCTTCTGGTTTAGTGAAGAAGATTTTCATAGGATCCATTGTTGCTGGATAAAAGAGTGTGTCGCCATCTACACAACTATCGATTCTAAAATTTAACAACACAGAACTCTAGAATCCTGAATCCTTGGAAACAAGTTGCCCAACAAAGAATCTTGCAATTACCGGTCTGATCTCATCATTGCAAGATTTTGGAAGAAAAAATTAAAAACAAAAAGTCATGAGAAAATGCAGAGGGAGGAAAGCTGACGGAGGCAAGGGTAATGTACATTGTATGGAAAACTGAGAAACGTTTATCACAAAGCAAGGACCATTGTGCTATTAAAATACTATTTGTGCAGAAATAAGTGTTTTCAGAGTGTTTATTGCTACCGTTGTAATAACGTCAAAGAAATTGCATGAATCCAGGGCTAGTTGCAGTAGTGTCCAGTATCTGATGGAGTTAATCCTTTCTCCCAGTGCCATGCCCTTTTCCTTCTGTTTCATGCCTTATTTAGATTGCAGGGAATTGCCACTCCGGGAGCCTTTTTGGTTGAAGGGCAGAGTACTGTATAAATATTCTAAATAATTTAAAACTGCTGCAACTCTTGACCTGAGGAGGTTGGTGGAAAGCCCCCTTCAGTGGCATGGGTCTCAGCCAAACAATGCAATGCAAAGGGAGGCAGCTGACCCTCCGAAATGGCTGTGCCAGGGCATATCGTGCCCTTGCTTGGAAGCGGAGGAGGCGGAGGAGCATCATCACCAGAGCCTGGCCTAATGCTCTCTGCACTCTCTCCCCCAGGCTTGGCTGGGAAAATGTTTTCCAAGAAGGAAAAACAGCTGACCCGGTGAATTTCAGAACTGTCAACCCCCTCGGAGCTGGTGGATTTCCTCATCCCATTTGTTTTTGCTTCCTGGCTGTTGCTGTTGCATTAAACCCTTTCCTTCTATGCTGGACCATCTCTGAGATATGGGGCATGAAAGCCAGCATAGTATAATGGTTTGATCATAGGACTATGACTCCAAAGACCAGGGTTCAAATCTCTGCTCAATCATGGAAACCCACTGGGTGACCATAGGCAAGCCACACTCTCTCAGCCTTAGAAAATGGCAATGGCAAGCCCCCTCTGAAGAAGTCTGCCAAGTAAACCCTGTGATAGGTTAGCCTTAGGGTTGCCATAAGTTGGAAACAATTTGAAGGCACATAAAGCAATGTAGCATGTACATTTCTATACCATTTATCAGTGAGCTAAGCACTCTCTAAGAGGTTTACAATCTATAAG